TAAGGCCATACAGCCAATTAATACATGTATTTATGGTCAGCAGTTGCTTTGTCAGTAGTTTTGAATGAAAGATTTTGCTCCTATGAAAAAAAGCAAATGGTGGATAGTTAGGTTTGTAATTAATGCATTCTTCTACTTGGTAAAATTGCTATAATAAAAGGCAACTTAATTGACAGGGGAGGAAGCAAGCTTTCCCATTTTAAGAGTTTTGTAACGGAAATGTAAAATCACATTGTAATTTCTTAAGAGCTGTAGAAACTTTCTTTACTAGGTCATGTTATATCTGATTAGGTAATCTTCTTTACCATATCATGAAACACTGAATTACACCAACAAAAACACAAGACATCGACATAACCAAAGAACAATCTTTTCAAAAGCGCTGGTGGTACAGAAGCCCAGAGAGTTGGAACAAGTTCATCAAGATGAATTGTCATTGTTAGCAAGAGTTTGCAATTACTGTTTGACCTTAACAGTCTATCTGAAGATTTTTTCATCTTCACTCAAATTCTTTTCTATTTTAAATTTGAAGTTGTCGCATTTCTGTGAAACATGATGTGTTAAAATCTACTGCCATGCTGGCTTTGGTGGACCATCCAGAGGACGTACTTGAGGGACAGTTCAATGAAGCTGACGCATGGCAGAAGAAAACACTACCTGACTCAGATTAGGGTTATTATTATTATCTCGGTTCTATCCTGCTTTATGTTCCTTAGCATTGTTCAGCAAGTGGAAAACAGGAAAAACCTAAGATGGGAACACAATCTTCCCTATCAGCAATGCACCTATAAAGTTCAAGAACAAGGCTTTTTTTTTTTTTTAAAATATTCAACCACATATGCCTTTGGAAATTCTCATGCAAAAATACCTTCATGAGACAGGATCAGAGATCTTTTCTGGCAAAATTAATGAACTGCTCATGGAAACACGTCTTGTGATCTGTTTTTATAAAGGATCCATCCCCACAAAACACAGAGTTTGTCTAGATACAAAAGCTACGCTGACAAGAGTTTCAATTTTTATTCCTATTCATGCTGATAAGAAGGCTCGAGTGATAATTTTTACTTGAAAATAAGACTGTATTTGGAGTTTAGCTTATATAATTTCACAATTAACTTTTAAGTAAAAGAAACCAATAAATCCAAGCCTCCTCTTTTTACTGTTCTGACATTACTGGCTAAAAACTGACATTACTGCCAGAACAGCCTGATAACGAGCCATAGATGGCTTGACTTCAGCTGGACTGCTAAGCTACATCATTGCTCACACAGCTAAACGGCTGCGAGTTCAAAGCCCAAAGCCACAAAAAGGCTTTAAGTAAAAACATGCACCAATGATGTATATAAACAGCAGTCGTTTGATGTTCAACACTTCTTTTTTCCCCCCATTTTGGTACTTGGCAGTCGCTGCTCTACTCTGGCCGACAGGTAGTCGTCGTCGTCGTCCCCCCGCAAAAAAAAAAAATACTAGTTTTTCACTATTTCATACTATGATCGTGAAGGTTAAGAGACAAACAGATGGGCAAATACCTGAAAGCCTAGTGTGTTAAGTGCACTTTTACCGGCTCTTCGCTCTGAACGCTTTGAACCGAGTCAGCCGCGGGGGCTGCCCCGCCCGGCGGGGCACAGCCCCCGCGCC